AAAAAAAAAAAAAAAATCCTTTATAGGCCTGGCACAGTGGCTCACACCTGTTATCCTAGCACTCTGGGGTTGAAACAAGTGAAATTGCCTGAGCTCCAAAGTTACAGACCAGCCTGGGCAAGAGTAGACCCTGTCTCTAGCCAGTTGTTATCGTGTGCTCCTGTAGTCCCGGCTACTCGAGAGAGGATGGCGTGAGCCCAAGAGTTTGCAGTTGCTGTGAACTATGATGCCATAGCCCTCTATCCTGGGCAACAGAGTGAGACACTATCTTCAAAACAAAAGAACAACAAAAAAACTATAAATATAAACCTAAGGCAAGGATTACATATTTCCTGCTTCTGGTGGGCAGTAGAGGCCTGAAACTTATCTATGTCTCTCTCCTTTGAGAGCTTAAGAGTTAGGGCCCATTGACTTTTCAGTCTGAAAACACTCTGTGGGCTTGGCACCCATAGTTCACTGGTTAGGGCGTGGGCCACATACACTGGGGCTGGCAGGTTTGAATCCAGCCCAGGACTGCTAAACAACAAAGACAACTATAACAAAAACATAGCCGGGTGTTGTGGTGGGTATCTGTAGTTCCAACTACTTGGGAGGCTGCGGCAAAAGAATCGCTGAAGCCCAAGAGTTGGAGGTTTCTCTGAGTTATGATGCCACGGCACTCTACTGAGGGCAACATAGTGAGAGACTCTGCCTCAAAAAAAAAAAAACAAAACGACAACACTCTGTGTCTGTTAATTGTATTCCTGGAGTCATATTCTACTTTAAGTCTATGCATTTATTTCTTCCTTGGCTTTGACAGTCAGCTGCGTCCCTTTATCTCACAGACGGGGAGCTTGACTTGAACCTGCAGTTGTTGGTCGCAGATCAGTGCAGAAACACCCAACCTGTTCTCGAGGACGTCAGAGCTGCAGCTGTAAAGCCAGACAAGATGGAGGAGACGCTCACATGTGTCATCTGCCAGGAACTGCTGCATGACTGTGTGAGGTACAACCTAGGCCTTGGGTGTGGTTTAGTGTGGAATTTGTGCAAGTTACTGTTTTCATTTTACTTGTCTACTCAATGAGGAGAAAACCTGGGCCCAGGAACCAGGGCTGTGGAACCCCCAGGATTTCGGCAGCACTGGTTTTGACTGGCATGGGTCACATGTAACCTCGTGAACCCAATCTCCACATTGCACACAGATCAAATGAACTATGCTGAATTTAAAGCATTTTTTAGCTAAAGAAAAACAACATCTAGCATAGAACATACGTGCAGGAGCAACTGAGAAAGAGCCTGCTTGCTTCCCTCTGGGAGCTTAAGAATTAACCTATTGGACGGTGCCTGTGGCTCAAGGAGTAGGGCACCAGTCCCATATACTAGAGGTGGCGGGTTCAATCCCAGCCCTGGCCAAAAACTGAATAATAATAATAATTAGAGCCTATTGACTTTCAGTTTGAAAATACTGTGTCTATTACTAGTATTCCTAGAGTCACAGTCTGCCCCTGTCGATCCTCAAAACACAGAATCTATGTGGCCTCTGATGTGTTTTCATTGACCAAGACTGAGTCCAAGTATTTTTAGGTCAAATGATGGTTTGAGGCCCCCATTTGGCACATGGCTCAGATTGGCATGTCCTTCTACTGGGTGGGCCCTGCTGGGGACTTGGGCACGAGGTGATGGTCCTGTCAACAGACATGCTCCTCTGTGCTCCAGCCTGCAGCCTTGTATGCACACGTTCTGCGCAGCTTGCTACTCTGGCTGGATGGAGCGCTCCTCACTCTGCCCTACCTGCCGCTGTCCGGTAGAGCGGATCTGTAAAAACCATATCCTCAACAACCTCGTGGAAGCGTACCTCATCCAGCACCCAGGTAAGTGGGGCAGCCCATCCAGATCTCCATTCTTCAGGCACTAGGGACATGGGCTGAGTAGCCTGAGATATGCACCTGGTCGTTTCATGGTGTCAGTGAGTGCTAATGTGCCCTTTGACTTCTAGACAAGAGCCGCAGCGAAGAAGATGTGCAAAGCATGGATGCCAGGAATAAAATTACTCAAGACATGCTGCAGCCCAAAGTCAGGAGATCTTTTTCTGATGAAGAGGGGAGTTCAGAGGACCTGCTGGAGCTGTCCGATGTTGACAGTGAGTCCTCAGACATTAGGTAGGTCCTGGCCTGGTATGGAGCAGAGTGTGGGAGCTGGAGGAGCAGTGAGTGCCATGGCTGAGCGTTTGCTGCTGGAGTGAGGCAGCACGGGCTCTGGTTCTGCTTCAACAGCCCAGTTCTTCGTGGCTTGAACTTGTTTTCTGGAATTAGGTAGAACAAGCACCTCCATCAAGGAGCATGGTGAGGATCAGGTGAACACTCAGGGTGGTAGCTGATGGGTGACTAGATAACAGACGTACTGGCCAGTCAGGTAGAGTGTCAGCCTTGGATAGCTTACAGGTACTTGCCACCTCTGCTAACATCTCTTCATTTGCTTAGTCTCCTTGTCAAGGTCTTGATTATTGGCTGTAACACAAGGTCATTATTCTTCCCACATAAACACACTTACTATCTGCAGCCTATCAAGTGGTCATAAAGTCCGGTACTATAAGTTACAGTGTGTATCGTCATTTGTCGGGATGTTATTATAGAAAAGTCATGGTCACCTGGCTAAGAGTACTGTCCTGGAAACCTCATTATATCTACTGATGTGTTGATATTTCCTAACTTGGAAGTCCAGGATCTCACTTTGGGTCAAGGCCATGGTACTTAAAAAAACAATTAAAAAATATAAAAATTGTATTACTATTTCCTTTTACTAAATTTAACAAGTGATAATGCCTAAAAAAAAAAAGAAAACTAAAAAGTCAATTTAATATTAACATTTTATTATACCTATCTGGTCATTCAGATATGTATTCATGCATATATTTTTTAACAAAATAGATGTAATATACTAATATTTTATGAAGATGGAGTTATATTGCACATTTGCATCTGTGATGTATCAGACGTTTTGAACCTGGCTGCAGTGTTTGTGCATACATAGCCAGTCATTTCATGATGACACATGTAGAAGTAAGTGGGTGAGGAAGAGCAAGATAGGACACTGGACCCTGCTGGACTTTCAGTGTGTTTGATATCCAGTTACCTGTCATAAAAACTATGTCATTTAGTGAGGTCCACATAAGGATTCCCTTTGCCAGGTTATTGGCAGTGCCTGTCGTTCAATGGGTAGGGCGCTGGCCACATACACCGAGGCTGGCGGGTTTGAACCCGGCCCTGGCCAACTAAAATCAGCAATGACAACTGCACCAAAAACTAGCCAGGAATTTTGGCGGGCGCCTGTAGTCCCAGCTATTTGGGAGGCTGAAGCAAGAGAATCACTTAAGCCCAAGAGTTGGAGATTGCTGAGAGCTGTGATGTGACAGCACTCTACCAAGGGCAACATAGTTAGACTCCATTTCAAAAAAAAAAGGATTCTCTCTGCCAGTTTAGTAGGAAGAAAAAGTCATCTCATTTTCATTTATATTTCTTTCTTTGAAGTTGAGTGTCTTTTTCTTTCTTTCTTTCTTTTTTTCCACTTTGTTGCCCTCAGTAGAGTTCTGTGGCATCACAGCTGACAGCAACCTCCAGCTCTTGGGCTTAGGTAATTCTCTTGCCTCAGCCTCCTAAGTAGCTGGGACTACAGGCAGCTGCCGCAACACCTGGCTATTTTTTTTTGTTGCAGTTTGACGGGGGCCGGATTTGAACCCACCACCCTCAGTATATGGGACTGGTGCCCTACTCACTGAGCCACAGGCACCGCCCAGAAGTTGAGTGTCTTTTCATCATTTTTTATTTTTGTCTGGTTAGGTTTTCCTGATTTACCCTTGTTGGCTTCTTGCATTGTTATCAGGCATAGATAGATGTCCTCAGACTGAGAGGAAAGAGTCTTGGGTATTTTTTCCCATAAATTTCTTTTTTTAACAGTCTTTTCTTTTTCCTGAGATTTTGGTAAAATGCACCAAAGACAAATGATTCAGGACAGCATGGGTCATGAAGGCTGATGCAGGGCTCATGATGGCCTCTGGTGATCCTAGAGGGCAAGGGGCGTCTTCCAGCTGTGGGGCACCATGCTCTGGCGTTAACAAGGGGAGAATGTGCAGAGTGTCTGGGAAGGGCAGGAATCTACCCTATCTCCCGGGGTCATATGCCCTGCCAGTAGAAACCGCGGGATGTGGGGAATGGGGACACAGAGCAGCCTGCATGTGGGTGGATGTGATCCTCACTGCAGACCCCTGTACTGGTCATTCTGGGAAACATGCTTTCTTCCAGGAGTGGGCTACAGTATGGCACAGGGGCTGCTCTCCCATACTGGCAGCTGTAGGTGGTGCTTAGACTATAGGTGGTACCGTCTCTGGGAGATGGACAGTTGTGGCCAATGGCCAAAGTCAGGGACTTTTGAGTGCAGTCTGCCCTGCTTCTTCAGCCCTGCCCTGTGCTCTCCTCACAGCCAGCCATACGTCGTGTGCCGGCAGTGTCCCGAGTACAGGAGGCAGGTGGCGCAGCCCCTTCCCTGCCCAGCACCCACTGGTGAGCCAGGTGCCCCACAGGCCCTGGGGGTTGTACCATCCACATCTGCCAGCCTTGTGACAGGTGAGATACCACGCCTCCCATCAGACTTTGTTCTTGGCTGTCATGTCACTAGCTTGCTAGGACCCTGATGATGCACATTGTAGCCAGCACTTTACACCCTGTGCTGTCCTCCTGCCTTGGTGACCCCTACCTCTTGTAGCTTGTTGTTTTTATAACTGATTTTGGGCTTAAAAAATCAAATAACTGTTAAATCAAATAATTCCTGATCTCCATTCTAGACACGCCTGGGAATTAATCCTGATTTTAATACTTGGCTTCTCGCTCAGCCCACTGCTCTCTTGTTGCAGTTGATGTACCCTGGTGGGTTTGCCAAGCCCAAAGTGATGATCATACATCTGGCCCTCAAATAAGAGATGGGCTTCTCTTTAGCCAAGTCACCAGAAGTTGTCCTGTCCTCCAGTCACCCAAATTCTCTCCCATCACATGCCTGTTTAGCAGGCAAGTCCCTAGATGTTATCAAGAGAGGCATAGGACAGCTTGCTGAGCATGTGGAATCTGAAGCTCTACGCCCTCTCTGCTCTGTGTTTCTGCAGAACAGGAGGATAACATGCAAGGGCCCAGGCCCTATTGGCCACTTACTAGCCTAAGCATGTCCTGGGGCTGCACATGTGTGACTGTGACTCATAGCCACCTTCTTAGACCACAGTTCTAGTGGTTCCTTGTAGAACTCTCAGACAGGATGGGCAAAGCAGTGCTGGGACACGGATGTGAACTCAAGGTTATGGGTGTGGGTGTGACTCTGCTTCTCACCAGCTCTGCTTGGGACACTGGAAAGGCTGTCTCTGCATAGCAGGGATCCAGCATATCCCTTTGGGCTTGTCAGAGTAGTTACTAGGTCATACATGCAGTGGTGTGTTGAGCCCAGCAGAGCTAAGACCCTCAGTGGGTGTTCCAGAAGACTGCAGTGGAATTTCCATAGGGATGGGGTGACGTGTTCCCTGTGATCTTTCCTCTGGGCTTACTGCATGTCTAGGGAGGTTGGCCATATTGATGCAGAGCTCCTGACTTGGGACCAGATCACTTGGTTGCAGCCATGGTGCTTGTCATTTGTTTTCCTGATGGATGTAGCTATTCTCGTTTTACTGTTTTATAATATAAAATACATGCTTTAAATGGCAGCGCCTGTGGTTCAGTGAGTAGGGCACCGGCCCCATATACCGAGGGTGGCAGGTTCAAACCTGGCCCCGCAGCCAAGTTGCAACAGAAAAATAGCCAGGCGTTGTGACAGGTGCCTGTAGTCCCAGGATACTGTGAGCTGTGACGTAACAGCACTCTACTGAGGGTGACAAAGTGAGACGCTATCTCTAAAAAAAAAAGAAAGAAAAAAACACCTCAAAATTGTTTTCAGTTTGGCCAGGCGCTGTCGCTCACACCTATTATCCTAGCACTCTGGGAGGCTGAGGTGGGTGGATTGTTTGAGCTCATGAGTTTAAGACCAGGCTAAGCAAAAGGGAGACCTTGTCTCTACTAAAAAAAAAAAAAAAAAAAATAGAAAAACTGAGGCAAAAGGATCGCTTGAGCCCAAGAGTTAGAGGTTGCTGCTGTGAGCTGTGATGCCAGGGCACTCTACTCAGGGCAACAGCTTGAGACTGTCTCATTAAAAAAAAGAAAGAAGAAAGGAAAAAAAAAACATGCTTTATGGGCTTGTCCTTCTTTCATAGGAAATATGAGAAAGCCTTCAACTGATTTTTGAAATCTTGCTAAACAACTAAAAGACATTTTTGAATACCTTTAAATCTATTTGAACTTCCATGGTGGGCATGGTGGCTTATGCCTGTAATCCCAGCATTCTGGGAGGCCGAGGAGACCAGCTTGAGCTAGAGTGAGACCTGACCTCTAAAATAGCTGGGCATTGTGGCAGGCCCCTGTGATCCCAGCTACTTAGGAGGCTGAGGCAACAGAATCCCTGGAGCCCAGGAGTTTGAGGTTGCTGTGAGCTCTGATGCCATGGCACTCTACCAGGAGCAACAAAGTAAGACTCTGTCTCAGAAAAAAACCAAAAGCAAACAAATAAAAAATCTATTTGAATTCCCTCAATTTATTTGTATTTATTTATTTTTTCTTGAGACAGAGTTTTACTCTGTCACCCTGGGTAGAGTGCCATGGCATTATAGCTCACAGCAACCTCAAACTCTTGGGCTTGAGCAATCCCCTTGCCTCAGCCTCCCAAGTAGCTGGGACTACAGGTGTGTGCCATTACACTCAAGTAGTTTTCTATTTTTAGTAGAGATGGGGTCTCACTCTTGCTCAGGCTGATCTTGAACTCCTGAGATTAAGCATTTCTCCTGTCTTGGCCTTCCATGATGCTAGGATTATAGGCATGAGCCACTATGTTTGGCCTGCTCCCTCAATTTATTTTTTTTTTTTTTTAGACAGAGCCTCAAGCTGTCCCCCTGGGTAGAGTGCCATGGCATTACAGCTCACAGCAACCTCCAACTCCTGGGCTCAAGCGAGTCTCCTGCCTCAGCCTCCCAAGTAGCTGGGACCACAGGCGCCCGCCACAACGCCCGGCTATTTTTTGGTTGCAGCCATCATTGTTGTGTGGCGGGTCCGGGCTGGGGATTCGAACCCGCCACCTTAGGTGTACGTGGCTGGCGCCTTAGCCGGTTGAGCTATAGGCGCCGAGCCTGCTCCCTCAATTTAGATGGTGAAATGTAATCTGGCTATTCAGACAGCTCCAGATTCCTCAGCTCTCTTTTGGGTCTTTCTCTAATGTGAGTCTAATCTTCTCTTTCTGCCTATTGTTCACTGTGCTTGGCCTGCATGCACGTCAGCAGGCCAGGAGTACGTGTGCCCACTACAGGGGAGCCATGTCATATGCACCTGCTGCTTCCAGCCCATGCCCGACCGGAGAGCCGAGCACCAGCAGGACCCCCGCGTCGCCCCTCAGCAGTGTGAGTGAGCTGTGCCTCCCTCACTCCCCCATCTGCACCGTGAGGCTCAGGGTTCAGAGTCGTTTTGACTCTGTGTAGGGTGCTAAGTAAGGATGCTGTTTTTTTTTTTTTCATCTGCATATTCGATTGTCCCCACATGGCCACCTTGAATAATCAATCTCTTCCCACCACTGACAACCCACCCTGATATAGACCAAGTTTCCACACGCTGTGGTTCTCTGCCTGGGGTCTGTGTACCATAGTTGGTTTAGAATGTCTCAACTTCTAAATCTAACAGATGAAATGAGTTGCTTTGTTTTAACACAGTTTTAACTGTTAAAATGGAGCTTATTGTTGACTAGTGGCTGCTTGAATTTATCCCTGAAATGTGTCCTGTGCTTTGCCTGCCTATACAATACCTCCTGGTTTCTTAGAGCTGTTGCACCTTCAGGCCTTGCTAAGTGGAGAGAACAGGAGCCTGTGTGGCAGATTTGGTCTCTTCTGACTATGCACAGAGTGCTGTCCTAGATTCTGGCACAAAGCAGTCAGCAGAACATACATGACCCAGCATACATTATCTCCCAGTTCATGCTCCTACACCAGGACTGGGGGCAGTTCTAGGTGAGACTGTTAATGAGGCAGGCAGGTGCAGTAGGTCCAGCAGGAGACATACCTGGGTGGCCTCTGCCCTCTGTTCATTGTCCCCTGTTCTGCACAGTGACCACTTCCCACTACTCAATGTTGTCTGTTGGGAGAGAACATGAGAGGTCTCAGGGGACACTCCACCTCCTGCTCCACATTCACTTGGTAGTCAACAATAGGTGGTTCAGGGAAGGGCTTAAAAATTGAGCAAAAAGGACTATACATGGTGGCTCACACCTATAATCCCAGCACTGAGCTCACAGGTTTGAGATAGCCTGAGCTAGAGCGAGACCTCATCTCTAAAAATAGCCAGGGGGGCTCGTGCCTATAATCCTAGCACTCTGGGAGCCCGAGGTGGATTGCTTGAGCTCACGAGTTCAAGACCAACCTGAGCAAAAGCGAGACTCCATCTCTACTAAAAATGGAAAACTGAAGCAAGAGGATCGCTTGAGGAGGTTGCTGTGAGGTATGACACCACGGCACTCTACCCAGGGCAATAGCTTGAGACTCTGTCTCAGAAAAGAAAAAAAAAAAGACATAGCTGGGCATTGTGTTGGGCTCCTGTAGTTCCAGCTACTTGGGAGGCTCAAGCAAGAGAATTGCTTGAGCCCAAGAGTTTGAGGTTGCACAATACTCTACCGAGGGCGACAAAGTGAGACTCTGTATCAAAAAAAAAAAAAGTTTACCTAATATTATCTTTTAGGGAATTCTGCTCTGAGAATATTAAACATTAAGAAATTGTATCTACAGGACGGTGCCTGTGGCTCAAAGGAGCAGGGCGCTGCCCCCATATGCCAGAGGTGGTGGGTACAAACCCAGCCCCTGCCAAAAACTGCTAAAAAAAAAAAAATAATAATAATGTCTACAAAAATAAGGTAACAACATGAAAAAATAGGAAAAAGGCATCTAAAAGAGGTGATAGGAAGTATGTCGCATTTTCAGAGCTGGAAGTCAAGTCAGGTGATGGGATAGATGTGATTTCCAGCTTCTTTGGATCTCACAAGTTTTCCTGGCATGAGCATGTGTGGGTCTGGCCTTTAGTTGGCCTTTAGTCACAACTCTCAGTCATTACAGTGCAGTCCCCTTTGATCCTAGCTGGGGCATGTCCCAAGTTCATGGGAACTCCTTGTAAATGGTGTTTTCAGAGAGAGTTGAGGTCCTGAGTCTGGCACTACTTGGAATTGTAGAAGAGACAGGCTGTAGTGTCGGTTGCCCACTTGACAAGTGTTCTCTGTCCACAGGTGCAGTTTGCCTGCAGCCCTTCTGCCAACTGTACTGGGGCTGTACCCGGACTGGCTGCTTTGGCTGCCTGGCCCCGTTCTGTGGTAATACTGGCTCTTCAGCCCAAGTTGTTTTGACCTTACACAATCCCTTGGGGAATTTGAGGGCAAGTGATGGTGGTGTCCTTGGGCTGCTGGGGGGCATGGCAGCCATTGTTAGTCACCAAGTGATTAGCTGCTAACTAAGAGGTTTGCAGTTTTAAAAGCATCAAATTTATGTCAGCTTAAAATAAAGCAATAACAGGGTGGCGCCTGTGGCTCAAAGGGGTAAGGCGCCGGCCCCATATGCTGGAGGTAGTGGGTTCAAACCCAGCCCCGGCTGAAAACTCCAAAAAAAAAAAAAAAAAAAGAAAGAAAGAAAAGAAAAGAAAGCAATAACAGAACAATTAGAGGACATGCTAACTTAAAACTGAGTCCTTACTGCAGGGTTCAAATGTTACGATACCTTCAGATATGGAGGAGACTCAGAGAACTTTACATTTTAAGAAGGGAGTAAAATAGAAATCACTTTTGCCTATTATCTATTTAAAATTATGTCATCAAGCTTTTTTTTTTTTTTGAGACAGAGTCTCACCATGTCACCCTTGGTAGAGTGCCATGGTGTCACAGCTCACAGAAACTGCAAACTCTTGGGCTTAAGTGAGTCTCTTGCCTCAGCCTCCCGAGTAGCTGGAACTACAGGCACCCGCCACAATGCCCAGCTATTTTTTGGTTGTAGTTGTCATTGTTATTGTGCAGGCCCAGGCTGGGTTCGAACCCACCAGCTCTGGTGTATGTGGCTGGTGCCCTAGCCACAGATCTACAGCCTCAAGCCTTGTCATCAAACGTTTTATTCTTTCTAGAGTCTATAATGAAAAGAAATGTGTTTATTCTGTCAGGCAAATAATACTTTCACATAATGTCTTTATAAAACAGATAACATTGCTTCCCTTCATCTTGGCAGAACTCAACCTGGGGGACAAGTGTCTGGATGGGGTATTGAACAACAACAACTATGAATCGGACATCCTGAAGGTATTCCCCTTTCAGACTAGCTCTTGAGTCTAGCTGAAACCAAGAAGAGCCCCTCCATAACTTTTCCTGTTACTTTTAAGACATTTTCTGCTTTTTCTGACTCATGCAGTCAGGTGTTCTGTATTTCATTGGCATATACCTTTTTTCCCCATGTGACAAAAATTAGTATTTCCTTTTTGTTCATCATGCCATGAATTCATAAGAGTTGGTTCCTGAAGCTCACAGAGAGGGTTTCTTGAAAACACGGGCCCCTTGGGACCAGTGTGGGACTGGGGTCTGTCTTCTGGCACCTTCCTTTTCTGCCTGTTTTCTTTCCATGTTCAAGGAAGCCAGCTCAGCTCTCAGAATTTAACAAGTTTAATGTGCACATCTGCCTTCCTGCTGAGATCCTTTCCAACAGCATGCACACCACATGGGCCTGCACATTCACCATAGACCTAACAGCACACATGCCACGTTGGCCTTCATACTTCACTCAGCAGTACTACGCTGGTTTGATGTCCACATGCAGTGGCACATTTTTGTAGGTTTGAACAAAAGGAACTAAGCAGCTTTGTATTTCTGAAGGGCAGAGAGAACAGAAGCCAGGTCCTCAGGTTTTTTCACAGACCGAGGCCTGCCATAGAGCTCAGGACACTCTGACCAAGGTTGAGTGTTTGACTTGCACCTGTGCTGTGAGTGTCTTTGTAGAAATTTTGTGAAAATAAAGTAACTCTCACTTCCAAGCTGCAAAAGCTGGCCCTTGGGATCAGACTCCTCATGCAGCATATGTGGGTGCTTGGCCTACAGCTACCTGCACATTGTCTGGGCTGCCCCTGTGCAGATGCCTTCACAGGGACCATAGTCTCTCTCTAACCACCTTTGTGGCTTTTCTGAGGTCTTTCCTTTCTTCGCTTTTTTTTTTTGTTTTTGGAGACAGAGTTTCTGTCTCCCTGGGTAGAGTCCTGAGGTATCATAAAGCAACCTCAAATTCTTGGGCTCTAGCAATCCTCTTGTCTCAGCCTCCCACGTAGCTGGGACTATAGGCGCCTGCCATAAAACCTGGCTAGTTTTTCTATTTTTAGTAGAGTTGGGGTCTCACTCTTGCTCAGGCTGGTCTTAAACTCCTGAGCTCAAGAAGTCTGCCCACCTTAGCCTCCCAAAGTGCTTCTTCACATTTTAGCATTTCTTCCCTTAAACTGGTATTTCCTCTTGTTGCCCTTCCTACCCCCCAACCCCCGCCACAGAATTACCTGGCAACCAGGGGTTTGACGTGGAGAAACATGTTGACGGAGAGCCTCATGGCGCTTCAGCGGGGGGCATTCCTGCTGTCTGGTAAGATCCACTCACATGCTTCCTGCTCTGGAGTGGATGTGAGTTTCCAAGGCCTTTTTTGCCTCCCGTTAAGCAATAGAAACCTGGCAGGCCACCCGTCTGCTCTCTCACATTTATGGCCTCTACCTCTACCCATCCTGGCAGATAACACAGATCCTGATACTTTAGATTAATTTTTTTTTAAATTGGGTTTGAACCTGCATGACATATCCCAGCACCTTCTCCTGTAGTGGAGGGCAGGAGTGCAGCTTGGAGGGACCCCACCTCTACCCATGGGGATGCCTGGGCTGGTGTATTAGGAGGCTATGGTCCTAGTGTGCCGATCCCTCAAGGAGGCTGCCCTTCCAAGGGAGTACAGGATGCCTGTGGAATGGGAGTTTACAAGGGACTTTTCTTCTGAGACATAATTATGAAAGAAGACTTGAGAGGCTTTCTTAAAATCCTTTTAAGCTGTTTCCAGCTCATGGACATGTCTTGTGTGTGGGTGCCAGGTGTCCTGTGCTGCAGCAGTGGCTGTTGGCTGCCCAGATCTACTGGCCAGGTATCAGCCTCTTTAGGTTTTGGGGTTTTTTTTTTAGAGACAGAGTATCATTTTGTCATCCTCAGTAGACTGCTGTGGTGTCACAGCTCACAGCAACCTCTAGCTCTTGGGCTTAGGTGATTCTCTTGCCTCAGCCTCCCTAGTACTCTTTGGGTTTTTAATGACTTCTTATTTTTGGCTCACAAAAAAATAGGATACAGGGAAGGTAAAAGTTGTTGGAAATCTACCACCTCAGAACACATAGCATTTATGTTTTTGTGACTGTTTGTCCAGGTGCCTTTACATATAAGCACCTATGTGTATATCATTCTCTTTCCTGCTCTATCAAGAGGTCTTTATCTTGATTTTTTTTTTTTACACAGTATTCTAATATGGTTTATTTAGCCAATTTATTAATATAGGATATTTAAATTATTTTCAGTTTTTCACTGTTGTAAACACAACAGTTGTTTTTTTGTTTGTTTTTGTTTTTTTTAGACAGAGCCTCAAGGTATCCCCCTAGGTAGAATGCTGTGGCATCACAGCTCACAGCAACCTCCAACTCCTGGGCTCAAGCAAGTCTCCCAAGTAGCTGGGACCACAGGCGCTCACCACAATGCCTGGCTATTTTTTGGTTGCAGCTGTCATTGTTGTTTGGTGGGCCTAGGCTGGATTTGAACCCACCACCTTAGGTGTATGTGGCTAGCACCTTAGCCACTTGAGCCACAGGTGCTGAGCCAACACAACAGTTGTTGAACATGCACTATTGTAGATTGGAAAAATCACTGTAGGATAAATAAATAGGATTCTTAGAACAATGGCATACACAGCTGAGATGGTCACAGGCATAGTCTCTTAAGTGCTGCCCTGATAGTCCTTGGTGCTGAGGAAGAAGCTCCAGCTGTCAGCTTAGCTTTTGCCTTTATTTTGTCAGTGTGGGAAGCCAACAGTGACATATCATTGTTCTATTTGGTCACCTTTGATTATTAACTAAATTGACAATCATTTTGCATTTATGGGTCATTTGCTTGTATGTGATCTTGGCCGATATTTATAGTAGGCTATTTTGATTTTTTTGGTATGAACGTGTGTGATATCTTTGTTAATTAAGAGTATAGCACGTGGTCATTTGTGTGGCAAATATGTTCCCATTCTATCATTAGTATTTCTCCTCTGTCATGTGTATTTTCATTGTGTTGAAGTTGTAAGTAGTCAAATGTTGAATTCTTTTCTGTGTGCCCTTTGGTTTTCATGACATGCTTAAAATAGGTCAAGAGAAAATAATACTTGTTTTTTTATAATACAGTTTTAAATTTTTTTTTTTTTTTTGAGACGGAGCCTCAAGCTATCCCCCTGGGTAGAGTGCTGTGGCATCATGCTCACAGCAACCTCCAACTCCTGGGTTCAAGCGAGTCTCCTGCCTCAGCCTCCCAAGTAGCTGGGACTACAGGTGCCCGCCACAGCGCCCGGCCATTTTTTGATTGCAGCCATCATTGTTGCCTGGCGAGCCTGCGCTGGGGATTCGAACCCGCCACCTTAGGTGTATGTGGCTGGCGCCTTAGCTGCTTGAGCCACAGGCGCCGAGCCTGAATTTTTTAATATTTTAATTTTTTATCCATGTGGAAGTACTTTGCTATAAGAAAATAGAGGCTCAGTGCCTATGGCTCAAGAGGCTAAGGCACCAGCCACATACACCAGAGCTGGGAGGTTCGAGTCCAGCCCGGGCCTGCCAAACAATGACAACCGCAACCAAAAACTGGCCAGGCGTTGTGGCGGGCACCTATAGCAGGCCAGCTACTTGGGAGGCTGAGGCAGGAGAATCGCTTAAGCCCAGGAGTTGGAGGTTGCTGTGAGCTGTAATGCCATGGCACTCTACCCAGGGCGACAGCTTGAGTTATCAGTAATAAATAAAAAAAAAAAATCAGTATCTCTTAGTTTTGGTCGTTTGGCCAGTTGTCTCAACCCCATTTATGGGTTGGGGAATTAGCTTCCCACCGACGTGGAGTGTGGTATCTTTCCTGTCTGGAGAGGCGGCACGTCTTCATGAGGCCTTTTCCTTCCAGATCACAGGGTCACTGGCAACACTGTGCTGTGCTACTGCTGTGGCCTGCGCAGCTTCCGAGAGCTGACCTACCAGTACCGGCAGAGCATTCCTGCTTCAGAGCTGCCAGGTAAAGCTTCTTCCCTCCCACCAGCTCTAACTCTGTATTGGCCTCAGCAGCAAGCTGCTGAAGTCACTCAGCTCAGTCCCTGCTCAGCAGATAGGCCCACAGCTTTCTCAGGGCCTGCGGCCATTAGCTGTCAGCTGTTACTCAAGGCAACTTCCATTTCTAAAACAAAGACACATAAATACATCCAGTAGACAACTAGAGTCATTTCATTTATTGAGTTGAGGTTTCAATTAAATGTTTTTCCTTTCCGGAAATCTTGGAAAAGTTTAAGGGATTTAGTTACAAAGCTTGAGAAGGTGCTGGCGTTTCAGCTTCAGCTTCTCTCTTTAGATCACTGCTTAAATTCAGGTAGTTGGTTGAGCATAGTGGCTCACCCTTATAGTCCCAGCACTTCGGGAGGCTGAAGCAGGAAGATCCCTTAAGGCTGGGACTTCAAGGCTGCAGTGAGCTGTGATGATGCCACTGCACTCCAGCCTAGTTAACATATTTAATAGACATGTACTTCTTTCTGTTTCTAGTGGCTGTGACATCCCGTCCTGACTGCTATTGGGGCCGTAACTGCCGCACTCAGGTGAAGGCTCACCACGCGATGTGAGTGAGGCTTGGGAATGCAGGGGAGACAGTCAGCTATCTACCCAAAATATGCTAATTTAGTCATTATGCCAAACGGTATGCAAAGTAACTTTTCCATTTAGGAATGTTTCTCTTCTCCTATTACCTCAATCCATGAAATGTTCATTGCAAACATTCACTTCCATCTTCCTCTCTGTGTGTATGTGTCTGGAGTACCTGGCAGCCTCCAGGGCATACCCATCATCAGGTTCAGCATTTTCTGAGTTGGGAGCTGTGGTCATGGCAGGCTCACCCACAGGACAATAGGACAGTTGGGGGTTTCTCTGATGCTGTAAGCAGGCCTTTAACCAGTCCCTGGAGAATAGGTCATCCCCAAGCAGTCATTTGTGGTTCAGGTTAAAATAATTGAGACAAGTGCCCTCAGGATGAGATACCTCTGCTGATAAAGGGGATTCTCCCAAGGTAGTGAGTGATTTTCAACCTGTATCCCAGGAAAATTTTTTGGAGAGCATTATTTTCAAAAGCAGTTCAAAGCACAGTACATATAATCTTTTTTTGTTCTTACTGTTTATTAATATAATGTTAAGTGTGGTGTTGAAGTTTATAGGTTCAAGTGTGCAGTGAGATAAAAAAGATTGGAAAACATTGCCCTAAGGCAGCGTTTCTCAACCTGTGGGTCACAACCCACAGGAACTGTATTAGTCGGCATTAGGAAGGTTAAGAACCACTGCCCTAAGGAGTGATTCTATGAAATAAGAACCTTGCTTTGTGTTTGAGCACAGCAGCATATGGAAAAGTGATTTCACTGGTAGTGGCTTACCTTCCTCAGGATGGCAGAGTATACTTGGCATCTGCTGGGGCTAATGGGGACGTAAGGTGGCCATGCTAGCGACCAGCAATGTGGGGTACTCAGAGGAGGCACAGCTTCTATTTCTTCTCTAAAAAAATTACCTAAGATGTTTTTACTCCTCTTTTAAAATTTTACTTTATTTTATTTTTGTAGTTTTTGGCAAGGGCTGGGTTTGAACCTGCCACCTCTGGCATATAGGGCAGGTGCCCTACTCCTTTGAGCCACAAGCACCGCTCCTCTTTTAAAATTTTAAAAGTGAAAAAGAAGGCTACCTTTAGGGGTTAGTTTCTTTGATTATAATTAGAACTATACCGCTGTGTTGGCTTGGTGCCCTGGCACAGTGGTTATGGCATTGGCCACTCAGCCCAGGCCAGCTAAAACAATTATGACAACTACAACAAAAAATAGCCAGTGCCTTGGCACCTGTGGCTCAAGCGGCTAAGGCACCAGTCACATACACTGGAGCTGGCAGCTTTGAATCTGGCCCAGGCCTGCCAAACAACAATGACAACTGCAACCAAAAATAGCTGGGTGTTGTGGCAGACACCTGTGGTTTCAGCTACTTGGGAAGCTGAGGCAAAAGAATCGCTTAAGCCTAGGAGTTTGAGGTTGCTGTCAGCTGTGATGCCACAGTACTCTACCCAGGGCAACATAGTGAGACTTTGTCTCCAAAAAAAAAAAAAAAAACAAAAAAGAGGGACGCTCCTGTGTCTCAGTGAGTAGAGCTCCGGCTCCATATACCGAGGATAGTGGGTTCAAACTGGCCCAGGCCAAATTGCAACAACAACAAAAATAGTCAGGTGTTGTGGCAGGCACCTGTAGTCCCAGCTACTCAGGAGGCTGAGGCAAGAGAATCGCCTAAGCCCAAGAGTTGGAGGTTGCTGTGAGCTGTGATGCCATGGCACTCTACCCAGGGCGACATATTGAGATTCTGTCTAAAAAAAAAAGAAGGGGTGGCGCCTGTGGCTCAAAGGAGTAGGGTGCCAGCCCCATATACCAAAGATGGCGGGTTCAAACCCAACCCCAGCCAAAAACTGAAAAAAAAAAAAATTTTTTTAACAAAGAAAAGAAATATACTGCTGTAAGTCTCCATACACACACACATTTATTTCTCAGGTATATGGTTTCAAAATCTGTTGAATTGAATACTTCTCTGATACCCTTTTTGTAATTGACCATTTTTTCCCTGTAGGAAATTCAATCATATCTGTGAACAGACAAGATTTAAGAACTAAGCGTCTGGAAGCTGCAGGAGCTGTGGAGTGTTGGAGGCAATGATGACCTGTTTTAAAAATACCGAATACAAACACATTAGGGCATTTGTAGAATCCCCCTGAAGAATGCTGGGGTCTCTGGTCATGGACTCTAGTGTGACTTTTTCTTTGGTGGAGTTTTACTCTCCAAATAAGATCCTTCCAAGAGGCCTCAGGGGAGGCTGGGGCACAGCCTATCCTCTTGGCCCTTGTTGGGCAGGGACTGGCCGTGGCTGACACTGCAGAGACCGAAGGCTTCCTGTGAACAGAAAGTCATCCCCACCTGCTGAGAGGGGGGATAGCACAGGTTTGCTCCTTTTGTAACTAGAGTTAAAACAGAAATCTCTTTTCAGGAAAAGTTCTAAGGGAGAAAGGGGAAAATTTATCAAAAACATTCTTTTTAAGGAAAATGGAACATAAGTTTACAGCCTACAGGATGTACAGAATATTCTACTGTTGGGAAAACCACAGCATTTTATATATTTTTTATTTTAGTAGATTTGGTGCTTATCTTCTAATAAGATTTAAATATCACAAACTGTAGCACAAATAATATAATTTATAATTTACAAATTGACTAAAACTGGTTATAGTATGATATTTGAAAGAATAAGCATATGTTTCTCTGTAATAAAAAACAATCTCCAACATCCCAACTGCTAACCCTAGATGTGGACATGAAGTTAGCGGGTCCTTAATACTCAGCGTGAGTAACCACTGTCCCTAGCACAGGGCTGGCCCCAGGTCCTGGCTGAAGTGGGAGGACGGAAGATGAAGCGCAGGACGCACCACCCCTAGCAGCCTTCCCCACGGAGACCCCAGCAGAGTGTGAGAGGGAGCACACCTGGCCTTTATTTCTGGGATCCCTTTCCCGCATTAGGTTTGCCATGTCATCTGGAATAATACTTGAAATTTCGGTTTTTTTGTAGAAAACAAAATTATCTTTTGTTGAAATCACCTGTTAATGTTTGTTTGCAATCTGGTGACTTTTTTGCTTCTTCTCAGGAATACAATTTTCAGCTGTTGTCTTGCTCTTGATACACACTGAGAAGCAGCTCTCTGTGGAAGAAAGTCCTCTCTTTTGCAATCTAATAAACAAGCCACATTTGTTTCTCTTTCCCGTATTGGGCTTGGTTGTATGGGCTGCCCCATATGATGGAACCAGCTCCAGCAGATCTGCTAGCTCAGTCCATCAGGGTGTTAGCCACATGGGGTGAGCTGGGGTTGGGTCCTGAAGCCTGAACATCTGGTGGGAACTGCCAAGGATCTGCTCTTCCAGTGTTGAAGCTTTGTCTTTAGCAGAGCACCAAGTAAAGCCACAGGGTAGACATCTCCTGTTTGTGGAGGAGTGAGGCCAGAGGGAAGTCCTTGCTAGGCCTAGGGGCGAATTAGAGCTGCCACAGGCCTGTGTCTCAGGGAGCTGCTGATCACACACTCTCCTTCTCTCCAAAACATGAAAATGCCAACCCTGTAGAAGATAAAACAGCCTTTTCATGCCTTGGTTTAAATTGAAACCAGCAACTTTCCTCAGGTCTAGCTAGATTTCCCCAAGAGGAATGGCACCTGTAGTCCCAGCTACTTGGGAGGCAGAGATGAGATAATTGCTTGAGCCCAAGAGTCTGAGGCTGCTGTGAGCTATGACAGTACAGCACTCTACCAAGGGGGACAAAGTGAGACTCTGTTTAAATAAATGAATAAGTAAATAAAATCAGGGGCCAGACGTGGTGACTCACACCTGTAATCCTAGCACTTTGAGAAGCCAAGGCAGGTGGATTGTCTGAGCTTAGGAGTTTTGAGAACAGCATGAGCAAGACAAAGATCTCGTCTCTAAAAATAGTGAAAGGTTACAGAGCCAAAGATGAAAGATTATTCCGAGGCGGGTGAGGAAAGGAAAATGGAGTTTGTGCAATTAAAGTGGCTTTATTGGGTGGCACCTGTGGCTCAAAGGAGTAGGGCCCTGGCCCCATGTACCTGAGGTAGGGGGTCCAGACCCAGTACCAGCCAAAAAATGAATAAATAAAGGGGCTTTATTCCACCTGGGTGCGGGTAGGGTAAGATTTCCAACTAGGTGGGGAAGAAATCCACACATGGGTAATGGCAAAGGGGGGAAGGAGAGGTTTAAAGGTCAGGAAGGTGGAGGTTGGGACATTCCCTTTCCTGGGTTGGACATCTGTTGGAAGGGTGGGGGTTGGCCTATTTACCTTTCCCAGGTGGGACATCTGGTGGAGTAGGGTAAGGGGTTGATTATCTTTTAGGCAGGTCCATCCTATTCGGGTGGGGTTTGATCCTATCAGGCGTTCTGGTGGGTGCCAGCTACTTGGGAGACTGAGGCAAGAGGATCACTTGAGCCCAAGAGTTTGAGGTTCCTATGAGCTATAAGGCCATGGCACTCTACCAAGAACGTCAAAGTGAAACTCTCACAAAAGAGAAAATGAAACACTTAGGTATAAACTTAAGAAAATGTATAGCGTCTCTGCTGAAATTACAAAACATGTATGAAAGAAATCGGTGAAGATCTAGTGGAGAGATGTACCATGTACATAGATCCAAGGCTTAGTGAACACAGTAAAGATGTCAGTTATCCCCAGATTCATATACTTTAATACAATTTCTATCAAAATTCCTGTAAATTTTTTTTGTACAGAGACCTATTCTAAAATATATAAGGAGAGCCCTGGGTTGAATAATCATGAAAGAATGCAAAGTGGGAGGACAGGCCTTCCCTGATGTGGCTTTCTAAACAGCTGCACTGCACAGAAAAGTGCACCAGCAGCCTCAACTGCAATACTTTTTTTTTTTTTTTTTTGAGACAGCCTGCCGTTGCATCACGGCTCACAGCAACCTCCAACTCTTGGGCTCAAGTGAGTCTCCTGCCTCCACCTCCCAAGTAGCTGGGAATACAGGCGTCCGCCACAACGCCTGGCTATTTTTTGGTACAGCCATCATTGTTGTTTGGCGGGCCCAAGCTGGATTCGAACCCACCAGCTCAGGTGTATGTGGCTGGTGCCTTACCAGCTTGAGCCACAGGCGCCAAGCCTGCAATACTTTTTGACAACTGTGCTATTGGAGGTCAGAGGACCTGTTTCGATTACTTGGTTGAGCTAAAAAGCTCAACTGAGGCACAGTGGTAATTGAAAGCAAAAATGAACGCAAACAAAACTGGAACAGCACAGGCAGCATGAACAGAGGGCAAAAAGTAACCTGCACAAGTTTCAGTGTAACAAAGAGAAATTTTATGTGGGAAGAACAAAGAATGTTTAGATCACTTCCAAAAGAGAGTTGGAAGTGGGTCCCTTTCAGGAACAAGTGGTGGGTGAGAGAGACATAGAGGCAAAGGCCTGCAGGGGGTACAAATATCCTCATTTGAAATTGGTTGCAAGGTTTTCATTGGCCTCTCTAGCCTTCAGGTATCATTGCCCTTTTCTATTGGTCATTGATTGTCTCTTTCTATTGGTCATTGGTTACCTAGGTTACCCACATTCTTATGGGCCCTCAAGATTTCCTGATTCCACATGCTTTCCTCTCACCCCGCTTGACTCCTCTTAGTGTACCTTCGCATGTGCAAAAACAATTTATTGAAGGAACTTAATGTCTTTTCATTACGTAAACGGCGTAGGAACAATGCAATACCCATAGGCAAAACCGACAGTACAGTTCTCCAACTCATCTCCCGGGCCATCAGTGTTCCCGTTTCTGAAAAGGTGAGGCGTCGCCAGAGCGCAGGAACCAGCCAAGAAGGCCCAATAAGGAGGGCAGCCCCACAGCGTGGGGCGGGGCGATAAAAGCCACGCCCATATATTTGCAGATAGGGCGTGGCAGGACTGGGACCGCGGCCTGGTCACGCCATTTCCGCCGGAAGCTCTATTTTTCGGTTTCCTGTCGGAATGTGTACTGCAAGTCCGGAAGTTGTGTTTCTGGAAAGTACCGCAGACTCTCAAAGTCACTTTATGAAATTGCGTAGGGCCACTAAGGGATGAATTCTATATTGAACCTGTGGCGAAAGCGGTCCTGGACGTAAAGCGGCTGCTAGCGAGCAGAAGACGATATTCTATGTTCCGGAACGGAGGCATAGCACACAGGCTGTTTCTGGGAGGCCCGTAGTCTTTGCACCACCGTGCCCCGCCCCTCGCGCAGCCACGTCTCCGCTGGAGAAGTCGGGCTGGGCGGCTGCCGCAGCTTCCGCAGCGTTAGGGTGAGGGTCGCGGGGGCCGCGGCGCCCCGGAGCCGGGCTCTTGCCGAGCGAGGGCCTGGGAGGCCCAAGAGTTGGCGGCGGAGGGCGGGCAAGGGGCAACCAGCGAGGGACGGCGGGGCCTGGGTGCGGCTGCCTCTTGGAGCGCTGCGGTGACGGCCGTTTCAGTCACCCTTCTCACTGCCGGTAGCCTCAGGGCCAGCTTTTAGCCTTTAGCGGAGCTGCCTCTGTGGAACTTGATACACTTGAGTCCACAGGAACGCTTGCTGGCGCCTAATAGGATGTGATTTACCCCAGAGGCATCTACTCCAGCTGCTCAGGACAGTACTTGTATTTTCAGTCTTGTCTTTTGCAGTTTGTTTTTTTTGTTTGAGACGAGGACTCGCTTTGTCACCTCGGGTAGAATGCTGTGACCCGATCATAGCTCATTGCAGCCCAGAACACCTAGGCTCACTCGGTCCTTCTCAGCCTCCTGAGTAGCCAGATGCCATTTGCTCTTAATGACAAACGTGATGTGGTGTCGGGCAGCTCGGGTGCAGCTGCGTTTTAAAGAACCCATGTACTTATCTGTTTGCCTCTGTCTCTGGCAGACTTTATTTCTCTGTCTTAGATGTTCAGAGATGTTTCACTGATTCAGGGCTACTACTGTCCAGAAGGAATGGGTCCAGGGAGCTAGGCATTGACACTAGTATGAACACTTCAACTTTTATTCACCTAATTAATTAAGACAGAGTCTCTGTTGCTTTGGGTAAAGTGCCATGGCATCCTAGCTCATAGCAGCCTCAAACTCTTCGTCTCAAGTGATCCTCTTGCTTCTGCCTCCTGATTAGCTGGGATTACAGGCATGTGCCACAATGCCTGTCTTTATTTTTAGTAGAGGCCTAGCTCTTGCTCAGGCTAGTCTCAAACTCCTGAGCTCAGGCAGTCCACCTGCCTTGGCCTCCCACAGTGCTAGGATTACAGGTGTGTACCACCTCGCCTGGCCATTCCCCAAATTCATTGAGGTGTAAATTCATTGTAGGTAGGCCCTGGGATACAGCGTTGAAGTCTTGTCAGGGTCACTGAGCTCACTTAGCAGAGGCATACATGAGGTCATTACTGAGTATACTGATGGTGATCCAGGCGGGGTAAGCTACTTTTAAATTGTGTGGAAAGGCTCACGAGGGAGGGGACTTTTGTGCCAAGCCCTCTATGACAAGAAGCTAGCCATGCAAAATTGTGGGAAAAGAGCCTTTCAAGCTGAATGAAGAGAAACAAGGTTTTGAATACCCCGAGGAAGGAGTAAGTTTAGGGCTAGCATGCAGTGGAAAAGGAGAAAAGTTACAAGGGTAAGGGTGTGGATATAGGCAGGAGCCAAAGCTCATGTAGCTTCATAGTTCATGGTAAGAAATTGGATTTAATTGTCACTGGGACATTGTAAAGCATTTATAGGTGACTCAGGTTTTCTTTTTTTTTACTGTTTAATGTCATGAGTATAGTTCCTTATAAACTTTTAACAGCTTTCAGTTACAGTATTCTTTGAATGGCAAGGAAAGGAAATATGTTGTCTGATACTACTCAGATTCAAAAGTAGCTTTTTCTTGCTCAGTTGCCTTAAGGAATACCGTACTTTTGGGTGGCACCTGTGGCTCAAAGAAGTAGGATGCCAGCCTCATATATTGGAGGTGGTGGGTTCAAACCCAGCGCTGGCCAAAAACCTCAAAAAAAAAAAAAAGTTTACTTTCTCAAGAGTATCTTCAGTTGGGTTTTACTTACCCCTTTTGACAAGCAATAATGGAAGGGAAATGAACAATAATAATTGCTACCGTTTTATTGGATGCAGGACAGACCCTATGCCTTGTTGCATTTAATCTTGGCAGAAATTTTATATTGTTTCTCATTGGTTTTCTTTTGAGGAAGTAGGCTAAGAATGTGTAAGAAATCTTGGGAAAGTCTCACAGCTAAGAGGAGTTAGGCTATGTATCAGTGGGGTTCCTGTTGTGTAGTGGTGTGAGGCTTGCTTTTGGCTTCACTTTGTATATAGGGCTCTGTGTATCTTTGGATGTCAGTGAAGCCTCAGTCAGGTTGAAGGAATTATCTTAGGGAAATCCTGTTTTATCTTTGATGCTCTATTTCTAGTAGCTGATAGGAACAGCTTAAATAAGGTGAGGTTATTGGAGCTGTTAATGTGTGTTTATGGAATTCATGTAACCTGAGTGGAAGCTGGAAGTCTTGCTGGCATCTGGGCTAGTGTTTTTTTCAGTGTGAGATTCTTTGAGGTTACACAGGATTGAACCTCAAATTAGGGATATCTTTCAAAGTTCTGAGTGATAGCTTTGTCCTGTCTTTTCCCGCTAGGAAACAGGAATGCTGGTGGTCAAAAATAACACTATGTAAGATTGACCTTTCTTTTTTTTTTTTTTTTTCAGTCATAAAGTGGAGTGTCTGTTACTAATAACAGCTTCCTTGTGACACACCCCCAGCTGTCTGATCCTCCTCCAACTTCTCAGAGATTTGCTTTTGTCAGCGGTCTGAGGTAATGAGCCCCTGAACGACCAAGCCATGCTAACTAAAATTCAACTGAAGCTGAGGATAGACAGAGAACGCCCATTTATTGCCCTAGAGGGAGAAGTAACACTGTCACTAGACTCCACCTTAGGTACAGTCAGTATGTTCTGTCTCTAGCCCAGCTTTAGGAGGACCTGCACATAGGCAGAACCTGGAGCTGCCAGAATAAGTCACAGTCATGGGGTCTCCATTCTGAGCTGGGGTAGGGCTGCTTGAGAATCACAAGGTTTCTTGTTTAGTAAGAAATCAGAATGAAGGGAATTAAATGAGTGGGATCTGTAATGGCCTTTGTTGCCATGTTTGGTGTGACTTCTCTGTGGAATTTGAATATCCTGGGCTAATGTTTCTCTTTCCTGGGCAGTGTTAAGGATAGGCATTGTCACTATTTGCCTCTGTGACAGTTCTCTTCTGCATATTCTGTCTTTAATGGCTAAGTCTGGTCCTGCTGGTCATCTCAGGTCTCAGTCTTCCTTCCCATTCAGGTGTTTATTTCAGCTCTTGCCTTTATAGCCTGCTCTTCTCATTTGTAATTCCCAGGGACACTCTTTGTCCCTCATTGAAACTGGAGGTCTCAGGTATTTTCAGTGGGAAAGGTTAACAGGTTTTCTGTATTTTAAAAGGTTTTTTTTTTTTTTGCAGTTATTGGCTGGGGCTGGGTTTGAACCTGCTACCTCCAGCATATGAGGCCGGCACCCTACTTCTTTGAGCCACAGATGCAGCCCTTAAAAGGTGTTATTGATGCTCTAGGATTCAAATACTTTATGAGAGACTTGACAGAGCCAAAGATTTAATTCAGTAACTGTGTTGAGTATGAGTGTGGCGTGTTTGAGGGAGTGGGGACACAGACTTGAAATGATAGTTTTTGTTTTCCAGGATCTTACCATGTAATGGACACACACAGTTGCAAGTATGACAGGCTGTGGTAACGGGCACACATGAGGTATAGTGATAACAGAAGGGAGTGTACAAGGCACTTTGCCTGCAAGGCTAGGGAAGACTTCAAGGCAGTGCCTGATGTAGACTTGCAAGGAAGGGCATTCTTAGCAGAGGGGTGAGATCTGCAGTCACAGACATAGGCAGAACTTTTTATCTGGGCAGGTGAGCCTTGTAGGAACAGACAGTGATGTAGATATCACCCCCTGCATCCCCACCCCCACAAAGTGGAGGCAAAGACATATCAAAGCAAAATACAAACATTTTCTTTTGCTAAAGACACTTTCAAGATGACCAGTTCAACAGCATACCAGTATTCAGTGACAGAGTCCACATTTCCATCTGTAATTCACCAGTCCTTAAAGTGGCAAGGCTGTGATGATGGGGCCACCTTGGCCTTTGTTTTGCTGATATGCCTTACCTTTCTCAGTGTGTGTCTTCTCCACAGTATTATGCCATGGCTCGGCTGGCTTTCCACCAGCCATCCTAGGGAGTTTTGGGTTTGTTGCTGAGGGGCAGGCTTGGTGGGTATCACAGTGGTTTTCTTTTGATTTTCAGAAGCTTCTGTGCAGTGTGTATAGACAGCTGTGTTGCCCAAATCTCTGTCCAGACTTTGGGGCCTGTTCATTCACTCCTACCCAGAAAAATCTCCAGGCATGAAAGACATTACTAATAACTGTAAGACAAAAATGAGATTGAGAATTTGTTGCACAAAGGATTAGTTATTTGGCCAACCTTAGTAACTTCCTTCATTGGTGTGATTCAGACACTGTTTTAGTTTTCAAATATTTATATTTGCTAGGCACCGTGAGTCAGACTCACTTCCAGAGTCTTTTTTGTTTGGGGTAGTTTTTAAGTAGCTATATTGGATTTATAGTTACTAATGTTATCACTCATTTCTTTTCTTTTTTTAAAATTTTTTGTAAGACAGAGTCTCACTATGTTGCCCTTGGTAGAGTGCTGAACCATCACTGCTCACAGCAACCTCAAACTCTTGGGCTTAAGCAATTCTCTTGCCTCAGCCTCCCAAGTAGCTGGAACTACAGGTGCCTGCCACACCACACCCAGCTATTTTTTTGTAGTTGTTGTCATTGTTGTCCAACAGGCCCGGGCTGGATTTGAACCTGCCAGCTCCAACGCGTGTGGCTGGCGCTCCAGCCACTGAGCCACAGGTGCTGAGCCACGTTATCACTCATTTCTATCAATACCACTTTCTAATAACCCTTAATGCTAGTTTTACACTGTACTAGTCATTGACAGTCAGTAGATGGGGATAGACCTACCACCAACGGATGACTTCTTTCCTTGGTGAAGAGTAATAAGATGGCTGATAGTGTGACAGTGAAGGGTGCCAGACTACCAGCTCTCTTCAAGTCAGCAGCACACTCCTTGTTGAGGGCCACTTATGTGGCTTCTTGTCTGTAATTTCTGTATGGGATTTATAAGCTACAGATGAAGCTTCTGTGATGTTTATCATGAAGCATATGAAACAGAACATAACATAGGATAATATGAAACTTACTTTATTTATTTATTTTAAGATAGAGTCTCTGTTGCCTAGGCTAGAATGCAGTGGCATCAGCTTAGCTCACAGTAACCTCAAATTCCTGGACTGAGGCAATCCTGCTTCAGCCTCCAGAGTAGCTGGGACTACAGGTATCTACCACAACACCCACCTAATTTTTCTTTTTTTATATACAGGTGGGGTCTTGCTCTTGTTCAGGCTGGTCTGAAACTCCTGAGCTCAAGTGATCCTCCCACCTTGACCTCCCAGAGTGCTAGGATTATAGGCATGAACTACCATGCCCAGCTGAAATTTACTTTTTTATTTTTTTGAGACAGAGTTTCACTATGTCACCCTCGGTAGAGTGCCTTCGTGTAACAGCTCACAGCAACTTCAAACTCTTGGGCTCAAGTGATTCTCTTGCCTCAGCCTCCCAAGTAGGTGGGACTACAGGCACCCACCACAATGTTCAGCTATTTTTTGGTTGTAGTTATTATTGTTTAGTTGGCCCAGGCCAGGCTCGAACTTGCCAGCCTCCATGTATGTGTCGGTCCCCCTACGCTCTGAGCTAAAGGGGGAGAGCCCTGAAATTAAAGGAAGTAGAATGGGTGTGGTGGCTCACACCTGTAATCTCAGCATTCTGGGAGGCTGAGGTGGGTGGATCACTTGATCTCAGGAGTTCCATACCAGCCTGAGCAAGAGTGAGACGGCTCGGCGCCTGTAACTCAAGTGGCTAAGGTGCCAGCCATGTACACCCAAGGTGGCAGGTTCGAATCCAG